AATGGGGGGGATGGAGATTAATGGGGGTGAGGGGTCACTGGGGGTAATGGGGTCACTGGGGAGGGGCATGGGGTTGTCTGTGAGGGTAGTGGGCGTCACTGAGGGAGGATGGGGGTGCTGGGGGTGGGATGAGAGGTTGGTAATGGGGGATCACTGGAGGACATGGAGGCGAGGGGGTTTAAAGGTTGTGAGGGGTCACAGGGATGGATGCTGGGGGCACTGCTGGACAGGGGCGATCAGGGCATGGGGGTCAGGGATTGTGTGGGGTTTTTAATGGGGTTGAGGGGTGTAGGAAACGGGGGGGACATGGCAGCGATTTGGGGAGCACTGGAGAGAAGAATGGGAAGAGTGGGGGAAGATCAGAGGGATGGAGTGGGATTGGGAAGTGAGATCTGGGGATTTGGGAGATGGGAAAGGCTGGGAAGGGTCCAGGAGAGGTTTTGGATGCTGAGATGCTGGAGAAGGATTTTGGGGAGCTCTGAGGAGCTCCTGGGATGGTGATTTTGGGGTCAGGAGGGAACAAAAAGGCTCTGGGAGCCTGCGTGGCTCTTTGCAGGGAGCTCCTGCCCAGGAGCATCCTTCACTTCTGCCTTGTGGAATTTGGATTTTGGTTCTGCCCCGCCATCCCCGCGGAGCAGGGGAGGAACAGCTTGGCCAAATCCCTCTCTGGGTGTCCTGTGGGGCTTCCTGGGGCAGAAATCCCAGTCCTGCCCCTCTCCCTTTCCCTTCAGAAGGCTGACTTGGTGCCCTGACTCGTTTTCTGTTGTGCAATTCTCTGTTCCATCACAGCTTTTAGCCTGGAATCAAAATAAAAACTTGTTCTTGTTGCTTTTTCCCCCTCTCAAAGGATGTTCCTAGTGCTGGAGCAGTGCAGGAGGCTCTTCCAAATCCTGTGCTTTTTTTTTTTTTTCCCTCAAATATGAGGTTTTCAGCACTACTGGGTTATAATTTTTAAAGGCACTTAATTATATGTGAAATACGAAATAAGCAGTTGTTTTGTTTGAAATGCTGCTGTCCTGCAGGTCTTTGCTGTGCAGGAATTTCACAAATTTCGGTTCCATACTCTGTGGTGAGGTTTTTTTTTTTTTAAATATATTTTTCTTTTTCACCGTTCTTTTCTGAGCAGCTCTCGAACATCCACAGCTGAGGGGAAAGAAATAATTTGTTTATCTGAGCCTTTTATTTTTTTATTATTTCAACCTCCACTCTGGGACGTCAAAACAGCCCAACCTGGTGTGGGAATTCCCTGATTTTCATGGGATGAAGGAGTTGGGTCCTTTATGGAATCCCGAGGAAAGGTTTGGATGGAAATTCTCCATTCAAAGCTCCCCGTGAAGGGATTTGTTTAACCCCAGCAGAACCTGCTAAATTCACACTCCTTAATCTGCTCTGACGTCCAGGAGCAGCTGATCCATGGATCCACAGGGCTTGGGATGTGCTCAGCACAGGGAACAGGAGCTCAAGGTTGGCCCAGGGCATTTTTTAAAAGCTTCACAGGGTTCTGTGCTGGTATTTTCTAAGCAGAGCCTCGAAATATCTCTTCCAATTTCTCCAAACTTTGATTTAGAGATAATAAAATACATCCCTAAGGCTGTCATGGTGGGAATACACCAGCGTGGATTTCCAAAATTTCAGAAAATAGAATTACTTTCAGTGAAAAAAAAAAAAAAGTATTTAACTGAAAATAATTCTATTTACTGAAAGAACATTTCCCCAGAGCTGCCACAGACAGGTAAATCCCAGCAGCAGACTTGCCTTGATGTGGGATTTTCCACCTTTGGCATCTCCTTTTGCTGCCTGAAAATAGATCCATGTCCACAGGAGGAAAAACTGCTTCTGCTGAAGGTGGAGAGTGGTGATGAAATTTTAATTCTCCCCACTGAGTCACTGGTCAGACTGGATTGCATCTCCTGCCTCCCAAAAGGAGCAGAAGTTGTTCAACCCCAAGAACAACTTGGTCTGGTTTCCCAGGAAAATGAGGCTTGCAGCCAAATCAGGCAGAAATCTGAAAGTGAAATTCCTCTAAATTTCAGGGAAATGAGTCCCCCACCCTGGGAAAGGAGGTGGAACAAAAAACCCCAAAAAATAATAAAGTTAGCAGTGAAGTGTGAGCTCAGAAAATCCACGTGGGGAGGTGACTTTGTTCCTATAAAATCATTCCTGGAGGGGTGGCTGGGAATGCTCTGGAAGATTTGAAGGAATAAAAATGGGGTGCATAAAATCATTCCTTGAGGTTTGGCTGGGAATTCTCTGCAGGATTTGAAGGAATAAAAAGGGGTGCATAAAATCATTGCTTGAGGGTTGGCTGGGAATGCTCTGGAAGATTTGAAGGAATAAAAAGGGGGGTGCAGACCATGTGGAGCTGTGAGGGCAGAGCTGGCTGCTGTTTGCTGAGTTCAGAGTTCCCTGGATCTCGTTTCCCTTGGGTAAACAGGAGGAAAGTGAGGCACAGGCCGGGTGTTCCTGGGCTGAGTCACTGTCTGAGCCGGGATTAACTCCCCTGGCCCCTGAGGATCCTGCTCCCAGCACTCCCTGAAACCTGGGACACATTCCTGGCACTCAGCCCAGGGCTCCTGTGACCCCCAAATCTTCCTGAGTGCTGGCAGAACCATGGGATGGTTTGGGTTGGGAGATGATCCAGCACCAATTCCAGCCCCTTCCACTGGGGCCATTCCAAATTCCCTGGTTTACCTTCCCTGAACTTCCCAACTTCTGCCTTATTTGAGGATGAATCAAATGCCAGGAAGGTGAAGGAATAAATCCTAGAGAAGGCTGCAATTCCCTCTTCAAGAATTGCTGATTTCAATTTCTGCTGAATTGATCAGCAATTTATTTTCTGCTTTCTGAATATGTTTCCTACTTTCTGAATTCCTTTATTTTGCATTTTCTGCTTCCAGGGGACGTTGGGAATTATTATTATGGCCAAGGACATCCCATGAAACCCCACAGGATCCGCATGACCCACAACCTCCTGCTCAACTATGGGCTCTACAGGAAGATGGAGATCTATGTAAGTCTGGGGGCTGCTCATTAGTGCATGGCATAATTTATGTTTCAGGCTTTAATTGTGGAGCTTTTCTCTCAGAGGAAAGGAATAAACCTCACTTTGTGGTGGTTTATTCCTGGTTTCTTCTCAGTGTTGAAGTGAGGGGTTCTGTGCTTCAGGGAGGCTTTGGAGACTGAAAAACCTGTTTGAAATTAAATTTATTTCAGTGCCTATGCATATGGCATATGTAACACTCACCAACAGTGCCATTCTTACCTTTCAAATCCATTTTTTCTTACTCAGTGCTGCCAGTTTGATAATTTATTCAGTCCCTGGGGTTCAGTCTGGGATTGGGGGTGGGAATCAGGGAGGGGACGATTGCAGAGCTCTCCTTGCTGTCCCTGCAGCGTCCTCACAAGGCCAATGCCGAGGAGATGACCAAGTACCACAGTGATGATTACATCAAATTCCTGAGGTCCATCCGCCCTGACAACATGTCTGAGTACAGCAAGCAGATGCAGAGATGTGAGTCCTTATCAATGGCACAGCAGCCACTGGCTTGCACGTTGATATCTTAGTTTTTATTCTGTGTTTTGTCATAGAAATTCTGTTTTGTTCAATACTTTTCAAATCCAGACGGTGGTGATGGTGTAAGATTTGAATTTTGTTTGTGTTTTTTTTTTTTAATAAAATATTTTAATATTATTATAATAAAGCATTTTTATTTTAATAAAATATTTAAAAATATGACTCTTTCCCATTCTCTTCCAGTTAATGTTGGGGAGGATTGCCCTGTGTTTGATGGGCTCTTTGAGTTCTGTCAGCTCTCTGCTGGAGGCTCTGTTGGTAAGATCACAAATCCTGTGTAGTTTTTTATTGTGTTTTATGTAGTTCTGTCTCTCAGCATATTGCTGATTTAATAATTAAACTCGGATTTCTCCAAACTTTACCTGTTGAATCCCTTTCCATTTGTTAATCACTAATTTGGGTTTCCTCCCTGAAGGTGTGAATGTCTCTTTAACATCACCAGTGTCTGAGTTAAAACAAAACCACAACAGCACAGTTGAAACAAACAAACAAAAAAAAAAAATAAAAGAACTCGAGCTTTAGATGAAAATAAAAGTTCTAAAAGTCTTGCTCTGAGCAGGCACAACCTGGAAAGGAAAATAAAATACAAAACCAAAGTGACTTAGCTGCTGTTTTTAAAAAACCACCAACTCTGGACACGAGGCAGAGTAGAAACTGAAAGGTTTGAGAGCTGGAACATTGAAATTTTTTTTTTTTTTTAATTTTCTCCTCATTGCTGGGGAACTGTTTGTGTGCACAGCCTGAGAGCTTTGTGGCTGCTGCTGCCACACTGACACCTCCAGTGTGGATTTCCTGTGCCAGCAGCAGCAGCAGCTCTTGAAGCAGCTCTGTGCTCTCTCTGCTGCCAGGGCTGGAGAATTCCACAGAATTTAGAATTTATTTGGATCCTGGGAGATTCCAGGATGTGGAGAAAGTCGATGGAAGGAGCTGGGAGAGGGAGAACTTCCTTTGCCTGGCTGCATTTTCACTCAGTGACCTGAATATATCTCAGATCAAACCAGATTGGCTCCAGTGTGACCCCAGCTGGGTGCTGGCCGCTGATTTGCGAGGATTTTTTCTTCTCTGAGTCAAAAATAGAAATGAATTAGAAACATTTCCCCATTTCCCCTTGATTTATGGGGACATCCAGGATCAAACCCTGGAGCTGCAGCTTCGTGGAACCCCCCAAAAAACCTGGAGGAGAGGCTTGAGCTTCACTTGAAGCTCTGTCTCAGGCTTTTCCACTCGTGTTTTAAGCTCTGTGTGCTTCCCTCCCCCAGCCAGTGCTGTGAAGCTCAACAAGCAGCAGACAGACATTGCAGTGAACTGGGCAGGGGGGCTCCACCACGCCAAAAAATCAGAAGCTTCTGGGTTCTGCTACGTCAATGACATCGTCCTGGCCATCCTGGAGCTCCTCAAGTATGGGCAGCACTTCTCCCTCATTGTTTTCTCCTCTGTATTTTTATTTTATTCCTTGATTTTTTTTATTTTTTTTTCGCAAAATTAATGTTTTGAGCTCTGCTTCCCTCTCCTCCCAAAAGGGATTTGTCCAGCAGAACAGTTTTAGTATTTAAAATTTCTTTAAAAATAAAGATTTTATTTCTTTTTTATTTATTTATTGTTTTTTGGGTGTTGTATTTTTTGCTGCTGCACTTTGTCCCTCCCCTCTGCCACCCACCCGTGGCTGTGACAGCATCTGGCTCCAGGCAAACCTCACTGGGGGAAGGCATAAAAAACAAACTGCATAAAAATGTGCATTAAAATGCACTTTATTGGCTGAATCCGACCAAGCTGAGCTGAATCTGGCATAATAAATAAATTTTAAATTTAAATAAATAAAAAGTTTGTGTCATTGAATCTGACACCAACTCAGCAGCAAAAATCACTTTATTTTCTTTATTTTTATTTTCTTTATTTTCCATCCCTGCATCTCCTTCCCCTGGAAATCCTGGCTGGAATTCCATGCTCTCCTCCCAGTTTCCACTGCTCTGCAGGCAGTTTTTCCTGGGAACAAATGCAATATTCTGATTTTTTTTCTTTTTTCCCCAGGTACCACCAGCGAGTGCTGTACATTGACATTGACATCCACCACGGGGATGGGGTGGAGGAGGCTTTTTACACCACAGACAGGGTCATGACCGTGTCCTTCCACAAATATGGAGAATATTTCCCAGGAACTGGGGACCTGAGGGTGAGAGCCACGAAATTCCCATGAAATTTGTTGTTTTTTTTTTTCCAGCTTTCCTGGCTGCCACTCATTTTTTTCCGAGGGCAGAGGTGTGGATGAAAAGTTTCCTGATCATTTATTCAATCTTTGCTCTCAGTCTCTCTGGTGGGGTTGTGGTCACAAATAAAGTGACCCCGAAGGTGACATTTTGGTCACCTTGGTGACACAAACTCCGGGGTGAAGGTTTGTGAGGGAGTGGATTTTTATTGGCATTTCCTGCAGTGACTCACTCCTGTGTCACTCAAAAGTGCCACCTGTGGCTTGTGACACTGCCAAGAGCTTCTGTTCTCAGGGGTGAAAGGTTCTTTACCTATTTTTATGGGATTTTTACAGGGACTCTGAGGTTTTATTTTATCTAAATCCTCTCATCTTTCACTCGGGATTTGTATTTTTTTCCTCCCTGCCCAGAGCTTGGTGCTGCACCATAAACGAAGTAATTATTTTTAATAATAATTATTTTAATAATAACTATTTTTAATAATAGCTATTTTTAATAGCTATTTTTATTTAACCCCTTGGGTGTGAGAGTGATAAAAGAAATATTAAAATACATATTATTTCACAGTAAAATATTTTTATTTTAAAGCAGAATTCGGTGACTGAACCGATTCGCTGACTGCTCTGGCCAGCCCAATCCGCTGCCCTGCATGCTGGCAGTAAATTAATATTTAACGATATTAATACCATTAAATATTTGCTTGATGTGGAATCCAAGCTTCCCTTGCCAGCTGGGAGCAGGATTTGGGTGTGTGGTGAGCTCAGTGTCCTCTGTCACCCCCAGGACATCGGGGCGGGCAAAGGGAAATACTACGCTGTCAATTACCCGCTGCGGGACGGCATCGACGACGAGTCCTACGAAGCCATTTTCAAACCTGTGAGTGAATCCTCCTCTGCTGAGGGATCCTCTGTGCCTCCCACTTTGTCCTCAGGGATATTCTTTGGGGGGGGATTTAATTAATTGAGGTTTTTTTTTATTCTGTAGCGAGGCTCACCAAGGGTTCTGTTCCCCCCCCTGCCCCGAACAATGGGGGCCTGTGCGGGCGCTGCTCGGTGTGAGAGCCCCAGTGTCACAGGGCAGCTGTGGGAGCAGCAGGGGTGGCTTCACGTGCCTGGCTGTCACTGTGCTGCTGTGACAGTGGCCTGTGGGCAGTGGTGGGGGTGACAAGGCTTTCGTTGTTTAGGTGATCTCCAAAGTGATGGAGACGTTCCAGCCCAGCGCCGTTGTCCTGCAGTGCGGCTCCGATTCCCTGTCTGGGGACAGGCTGGGCTGCTTCAACCTCACCATCAAAGGTAGGAGCTGAACCAGGGCCACAGCAGGACATTCCATGGCAAATTGGGATTTATGGCACGAGTGTGACCCTTTCTTTGCACTGCAGGCCATGCCAAGTGTGTGGAGTTTGTGAAGAGCTTTAACCTGCCCATGCTGATGCTGGGAGGAGGGGGGTACACGATCCGGAACGTGGCTCGCTGCTGGACCTACGAGACTGCTGTGGCCTTGGACACTGAGATTCCCAATGGTAATTCCCCACCTGGAGCCCTGGAACAGCATTTAGGATCAGTGATAGCCCACTAAGAGCTCAGGGAAATGGTGCCTTGAGGAGCTGGAGCAGAGGCTGCACACAGAGTTCAGGAGAATAAAATGGGTGTTTATTGTGAGGCCTACAAAAGCCACAGCCTGGCAATATCAGTGCCACAGTTGTGCCCGGATGGCTCCAAGATGGAAGGAAAGGAGGGGGTTGGTCACAAAATCTCACACTTTTATAGGTTCTGGTTCATTTGCATGAACCCACCCTCCACCTTTCCACGTAGTTTGTGCTCAGGGCCTGAAGTTTGGAGAAACTGTCCTTGAGTTCTTAACTAGAATAGGATTGTTTTGTCTTTATCATCCCAGCCCATCAGAGAAGCACATCCAAGGAGAACAGGAAAACTTAAAACTAAAGGCATCATTTCCTCTGGGTGATGCCTTTTGGATGCCCTGTGAAGATCCAGTCGCCCCTGGGTGCCCTTTTGGATGCCTTGAGTGCTGGAGCTTCTCCTGCTGATAATTTAATGTTAATTTCATATTAATTAATTACCATTAATTCCCCTCCAGAACTTCCATACAACGACTACTTTGAGTACTTTGGGCCAGACTTCAAGCTCCACATCAGCCCCTCCAACATGACCAACCAGAACACCAACGAATACCTGGAGAAAATCAAGTGAGTGCAGGGGGAATGACCCTTCCAGGGGCATTGGTGGTGGCCTCGGGGGGGGGGGTGGCCCCTGGTGACAAAATGTCCTTTCCTGGCTGGCTCTAGGCAGCGACTCTTCGAGAACCTGCGGATGCTCCCTCACGCTCCTGGGGTCCAGATGCAGCCAATTCCTGAGGATGCTGTGCAGGAAGACAGTGGGGATGAGGAGGAGGATGATCCTGAAAAACGCATTTCCAGTAAATCTGGGGGTCGTGCTGGGATTTTGAATTGGGCTGGGAATTTTTGCTGGGAAAAGCCCAAAGCTGAGCAGGGTCCATGAGCTCTTCCTGAGGAGGAGGATGTAGGGTTTAGATCCAGTGTGACTCCAGGATTTCACCCCTTTGGTTTGTGGGGACATCCAAAGTCAAACCTTTGGGCTGGAACTTTGTGAAGCCCCCAAAAACCCTGGGGAGGGGCTGGAGCTTCACCTCAGGCTCTGTCCCAGGGTTTTCCCTCTCTGATTTGAATCCATTCCCACCTCCCTGCTGGATTTTTGTAGCACAGAGCACTGCAGGATCTCTCCTGCCAGGTGATTTCCAGAATGGGAAAAAACTTTGGTTTTTAAAGGAAGAATTCCAGCAGTTGCTGAGTGCTGGGACAGAACCCTTGGCAGAATCCTGGGTGTGATCCCAGCAGTGAAAAATGAAATTTTCTCTCCAGCTTGGCCCTTGGGATCTGGCAGACAGATCTGGCAGTGGGAACCTGGTTCTAAACCTGCTGTCAGGTCTGGACATCCCACTGTGCCTAATCCAAGCTGTCCCTGTGATCCTGGAGCACTTGGGAAGGGATGAGCTCAAAAAATACAGCAGGCACAAAAAAAAAAAAGTGTTTTTATCTTGGCCTAATCCCCATTTATGTGAGCTCCACTCAGAGAATTAACACTGGGAGATTCCTGATTTTGAAAATCTGCTCAGCCAAGCTCTGTCCTCTCCCCTGGCAGTCCGAAATTCCAACAAGAGAATATCTTGTGATGAGGAATTCTCTGACTCCGAGGACGAGGGCGAGGGAGGGCGCAAAAACGTCGCCAATTTCAAGAAAGCCAAACGTGTGAAAGCAGAGGAGGAGAAGGAGGAGGAGGAGAAGAAAGGTGAGTAGCAGAGCTGGAATTCTGCCTGGAATTCGATTCTCTTTTCCTCCTGCACTGCTCTGTGTCTTTAATTTTATTTATTTATTTGTTTTTTTTAATCCCAGATGAGAAGGAAGAGGAAAAAGCAAAAGAGGAAAAAGCAGCAGCAGCAGCAGCAGCAGCAGCAGAACCCAAAGGGTGAGCCTGGCTCCTGCCCATGCCCTGGGAGGGTTCAGGGGTTGATGTCACCATTTGGGTGGCATTTTTTTGTCACACTGGAAAAAGTTTGCAGGGTTGAAAAAGCTGAAAAATCAGAACACTGCTCTTTCCTTCAGCAGTACATTAAATTTTAGCTGAAAATGAACCAGATAAGCAACATTTTGAAGCCTTGTTCTTACATCCAAATTGTTGATTTAAGCCAATTATTTAATTTTTTTTTGTTTGTTTGTTTCCCCAGGGTGAAGGAAGAGACAAAATCCACCTGAGTGGCTGCACCTGGCCAGGTGTTGTTGTAGGTTTAGCTCCTGGGTTTCCTCCTCCCCACAGGATTTCTATTTTATATATGTTTTCTGTATATATTTCTATATAATTGTATAAAATGACTGGAGAACTGTAAATTATTCCTTGCTGCACTCCACTGGGAGCAGGCAGGGGAGGATTCTGCTGAGCAGCCCAGGTTTGGTGACCAGGGGAGTTTCACCCTTTGCCTTCCACTGCCCCTCCTTGGTGTGACTCTAAAAACACAAAAATCACTTCCTGCCCTCTGAAATAACCCTGGAAAAGAATAATTTAAATAGAAGTAGTGTCTGCATTTCAGGTTAGGTGGAAAGATGGCCATCAATTCTTAATTTTCCTCGATTTTTTTTTTTTTTTTTAATATTTTTTTTTTGGTGTTGTTTTTAATGGGAGAATTCCCAAATGAAGCCTGGGACAGACCTTTGTGGTCTGCAGTTGGATTCCACCACGACAAAAAAAAAAAAAAACAACAAAAAAACAAAAACCTGTGAGCTGGTGCCACTTCTCAGGGTCAAAATTGTGCAGTTCTTGAATTGAGTTGGCTCCTCCCTGCAGCAAACTTGGGGAAAGAGATGAAGCAGCTGAAAAGAAACCTGAAAAATCCTTTTTTTTTTTTTTTTTTTTGTGTTTTTTTTTTATTTCTTTTTTTTTTTTTTTTTTTTGTGTGTGTGGTTTTTTTTTTAAGTGAATCAGCCCCAGAGCCCAGATCTGGGAAATGTAAAATTAAAATCACCCTGAAGGGGTGGCTCAGTTTTCCAAGATCTCCTGGATCCAGGGAGTTTGATGCACCTCGAGGGAGGGAAGGAATGAGATTTTTTACCTTTTTTTTTTTTTTTTTATGCCCCTCTCTGTGTGGGGAGAAAATTCCTCCCCTTTGTCTTCACTTTTGTGCTGAAACCCCAAAAATCCCCTCAAATCCAGCCCAGAGCTTGGCTCACAGCTTTCCTTGATGTGTATCCTTAAAAAAAATCCAATTTTTTTCCTTATTTTTAAGCCAAGTTTTCCAACTGAACTTCCCTCCCCGGGCCAGTAAATCCCAATTTTTATTTATTTAATTTTTTTTTTTTTCATGCTGTTGCCTTGCTGAGGGAACAGCAGATGGGGCTCTGAGCATTTTTACAGCTCCTCTCCCTCCTCACCCCCAGATCTCTTTTGTGACCTTTTTGCCTCTCCTTTTGTACAGCTCTGAGGGAAAAAAAAAAACAACAAAAAAACCCCTTTTTGTTGGGGGGGGTAAAAATTGAGAATTTCTTCAATTTTGGATTTTTTCAGGCAGTTCCCACTCGCTGCTCTCCTTTCTCAGGGGGATCCCTCTGGAATTC